AGAAAGAAAATGAAAGAAAGGAAAAATCTCAGAAGACTAGGACCCATATGAACAAGGAGGGTAACTCGAAGACAAGCAGACAGATGGACACTTTGGATACTGTGAAAAGCAATCGCAGGAGGCAGACTATTGGGGGATGTGCGCATGTTCGATAGCATCTTTTTTGCTGAAGTGATGGCGTGCCAAAAGTATTTTCAGTGGGCATAATCCTCTCCACATAAATGGCCTGACCAAGGAAGGTATGTCGATATCTTGTGTGTAATATTCATTTAAATGTCTGCTACCTTTTTATAGCCCTGGAGGCACTAATATCTGATAAACAAGTTCATCCTGTTCACCGTCCTTGAAAACTATGAAAGGGTTTCTAGATATATGATTTTAAAATCTGTCATTGTTAAAACTGTCATTGCTATATTCAAGTAATTATGTAGCTTGGAGTAATTACAGATTATGGATGTATAAAAGAGAACAGGCAAATAGTATCAAGATGTGCTTAAAGGATTCTCTGAAAAATTAAACTTAAAAAGAAAAAAACTAGCCCTCTAAAGAAAACATAGCAAGCCTCTACCAAATTAGGTCAAAATGAATTCTTATCTAGTAAAATAAAGTGATCTCTTAAAAATGGCTATCAAAGAGACAATGCAGTGAAATTACATTAAATAGTATCAAAGATGATCTTAATATTAGGAGCTTTTTTCCAAAGTCCTTTTCAAACAAATTATTAACATATAACAGCTTTTACTAACAAAATTATCCCAGATCCATCTCCCTAAATAAAGACAACAAACACAATCTAAGAGAGTATCAACAAATCTTACTCTCGAGCTGTAAGAATATTAAAAGGAAAGCATTTGCACAGGATCACACAAGGCAGTGTGAGTTTTATGCACAGAACACCACCACAGCAGATCTGCATGTTATTACCGTGTCCATGAATACAACTTTAAACAAAGAAACAGCAATAGTTGCTAAAAATTCCCCCACTTGAAACAGTGAACTTTCATTTTAAGCAACTCATTCTAAATGATCAAATATAAGATTGTCCTTGGTGATAATTTTTCAGTGAAATTCAAAACATAATGTGAAAATAACCTGATATAAAAATATTCATGAACAGCAATACAAGGACAAAAAATTAAATATAAATGTAGCTACTGTGCTTCTAGGCTATTAATATGTGCTAATGAACTACCATCATGGTATGTATGTGCAGGGCAGAAATAAATCTAATAAACTATTTAAACAACAATCACAGAAGAGCAACTCATGGGTCAGGAGCTCAAATATATTTCAAATATTTTTTACAATCTACTAGAGAACCTGATATTTGCTCAATCTCACAATACAACTCAATAACCTATTATTTAATAATCACAAAAGGCAAATATTTTAAAGACATATGTAAGCATTCTATTCTAAAATTAAGATTAAACAAGTTTATCAAGCCCTATTATTATTATATCTCAACATCAACTCTGTCATACCATGAATTTTTATTCCACTATAGAATGAAATCAGATTGTATTAAATAAAAAAAAAAAGCTGTAAAAATCTCAAGTCTCTCTTAGTGCTTTTTCTGTTAATGTTAACAACACCAATTAAACACTTTTATAAACTAGATCTCAAAACAAAAGTATAGAATTTTTTTATTCAAGCACCACTTAATCTAGGACTGTTCCAACAGACTAGATATCAACACTTTTTAAAGACAAACGATAAAAAGTGTGTGTGTGTGTGTGTGTGTGTGTGTGTGTAAGAGAGAGTGCAAGCATGTGAGAAGTAACTGAACATTTCACAGCAACATTCTCTCCATGTACTACAATTCATAATATGTAAGTATACATTAATAACTTGAAAAAATTATCATAAAAAACCCTAAGAGCTAAATCAAAGGTACTTCTATGCTGAAAATGCAGAAGTGCGAAACTATTTAGATTGACAAAAATATTTTAACTTTCTTGTCATGTTCCCACTTTTAGAATTAATATATAACAGGCAATAACTGGAGAGTAATTTAGACATTTAATAAAAAGGAGGAACAGTTACTTTAATCTTTCTTTTTAACAGAGAAATTATGATGAATGCCTGAGAAACTTTCAATAAAGAAATTTTTAAAGCTAGACACATATACTTTATTTATCAATGGGAGATTACCAAAAGAGTATATACGGATTTTAAGCCTGGGAAGCTTAATATTTACAAATATTAAGTCATGAATTTAACTTAAGATGCATCCCTATCACTTACTGCTACAAAATCATATAGGACCATAAACTATGTATTTATGCTAGATTATACTATATAACAATATGCTGTTTTCTGTAACATGGAAATACTTCAGAGATATCACTTCAGGTATGTTGCTTTCATAAAAATATTAGTTTATTACTATGATATTTATCTTCATTCATTTCTTCAGTCGTCTATTCAAAAATCTGACCTTGTATGTATTGCTTCTCAAACCATCAAATTTATACTTTTAAAAGGTGTAAATAATTGGACTTCAACCAGATATCAAGCACATATCAACAAAAAGTTGACATATTTAACTTAGCTTTGGAATGCTTAAAATGGATTTCTAAATAAATTTAAAAAGCAACTTTGTTTCTTTTAAATTTATACACCTAACCCTTATATCTACTGGCTTCTATGCGGAGTGGAGGAAGAATCATTGCTATTTATAAAATATTTCATTTGAAAATAAAAGATTAGAAAGAGTTTCCTAGTCTAAATAGAATGGCAAACTATTAACAAGTACAGGAAGGAAAAAACTGAGTTTCTAAATCAGAACACTCAGCCTATTTTCAGTTTAGCTCACAGCAGCTATGTTTTGCTGGTACAGTGAACAGCCTTGGTCTTTATTGTAGCAATGTGAAATTAAAATTCATGTAAATAAACTCTAATAAATAGCAAAATAGATTCTATGTTTTTAAACCTCCATACTTAAAAAAGAATCACTTTTCCGTATCTCACAGGATGATTAAACATTTTTTTTTTACATTTGAGAACCATAACTTCTAAAAGTACTACATAATTTCAGATACTAAAAATTATCAAAAGCTGGCGCCTTTAGTATTATACTTTAGAAATTTGTTCAAATTCCCACCCACTTGCTCCTCCTAGTGGCTTTTACTAGAATAGTACTTTCATTCATATATGTTTAACACTTTCAATCAATATTTTCAAAGTACTTCATACACCTGATACGTGAGTTTTACTATAATTATTCAATTATATGAAGGCTTCCATGTAACTACCATTATTTTCCCAAAATAATTAAGTTTCATGTCAAAGTTAAACAAATTTGGCATTAAGCACGAATCTCTTAATATCACAGGCTAAACAAACACATACGTATGTATGTACGGAATTTTAAATAAACAAAATGCTTCTAAATTAAATTTTTAAACTGGCTAGTTTCTTTTACTTAAAGAAATAATTTTCATAAGAAAAAGTTGAAGAAATTGAAATTATTAATCCCCTTCTCGAGAAGGGTTTTCTCTTTAAAAATAGAATTCAAGCTACAGCCCCTTACCCACCTCTACCTCCACTCCTTGATCTAGAAAAACTAAGAACAAACTGAAAACCATGAAAAATCTGTGCTGTGAACCGAAAAACCTTGCTGAAAGATAACACCAGCAGTTTTTAATATGGAGAATAATGAACCTCCCATACTGACATCTTAAAATCTAGGGCTTTAATGCTTCGGATTCCACGTCTCTCTCTCAATCTCTCTCTCTCTCTCTGCCCCTCTCCTGCTTAAGCTCTCTCTCGCTCTCTCTCTCTCTCTCTCTCTCTCTCTCAAAAACAAATAAACATTAAAATAATAATAATAGTAGTGAAAAATAATCTAGGGCTTTAATGAGTGTCACACCACCAGAAGTCCTAAAAATGTAACAAATTCTCTACACACAAATGTAGAACACAGCAAAACTCAAGAATCTTTTAAAATGCATTTTGTAAAATTCAAAATTTTAAACAGCTGGATATGATAGTACCTAGTGCCTGTATTTTGTAACAAACCTGAAAGGATTGTTCAAAGTAGTTCTTTGTTTAATTCTAACATGGAGACTCAACTGAGATATGTGAGAGTGTTCTGCCAAGGCCAAAGATAATTAAAGATAATTAGTTACTATATTTTAAAACTCAGTCTTAAGTCTAAGTAAGGATCATGATCTCCTGAATACCTCATCTTTGAAGTGGAAGGTTAAAATTAGAAAGAGTATTTGAAAATGTTCATCATTTATTAGTCTTAAAATCCTGTACTGAAGTTACTGGACCCTGAAAATTAATTTTGACAGGTGCATCTTCTCATTGACTTTCTCAACACAGTAGGGGCCAATGGAAACATGCCAAGCAGTGTACTGTGACTAACAGAACTCTGCCATAATCAACCTTGCACCGTCTGTCCCACAACTGATACATGACCGTTTTACAAAAAAGGCCGCTGACTGTGCACCATACCACCAATGGTATGTCAAATCAATTTTAATTAATGCCAATAAATTTTCCATCTGCTCTCAGGCCTTCTTACATGGCCTCTCTCAGGAATCTAGGAACATTGTTCTCTTCTACATGCATACAACTTTTAAATCTTTAACTCAGGTCAAAAGCACAAATGACCAGAACTACTCAGAGAATGAAATAAGTGGAAGAAAATTAATCCATCACTTTTCTCTTTAAAGTGCTCATCCTATTCCCAGTGATTGTATGTTACCAAGGATAAACAAACTATAAATTTCATCCCTGGGTTATCATATTTTCACAACTTAAAAACTCCTATTTCCCCTAATATTATTAACATCCAAAGTCTCTTTTCAGGCAGTTCTATAATATTTTGCATTTTGTAAATTTTTATGCTTCATCTTTATAGAATGACTGCATGGGAGACAACGTGACCGAATTAAAAAATGATTACCAAAGAAAAGTATTGATTCAGGAGAAGGAAACAACATTTTCAGCCTCCAGTATCTCATATCCCATTACTGGATATTTACAACATGCTTCAGTGGAGGAGAAGACACTGCTGCTTTGCAAAGATGAGCTGGAATGCCAAGAGGTCTCTGTTCCGTACCCATCTTATTGGTGTACTTTCTCTAGTGTTTATTTTTGCTATGTTTTTGTTTTTCAATCATCATGACTGGCTGCCAGGCAGAGCTGGATTTAAAGAAAACCCTGTAACATACACTTTCCGAGGATTTCGTTCTACAAAAAGTGAGACAAACCACAGCTCCCTCCGGAACATTTGGAAAGAAACAGTCCCTCAAACTCTGAGGCCTCAAACAGCAACTAACTCCAATAACACAGACCTGTCGCCACAGGGAGTTACAGGGCTAGAGAATACACTTAGTGCCAATGGAAGTATTTACAATGAAAAAGGTATCGGACATCCGAATTCATACCATTTCAAATATATTATCAATGAACCTGAAAAATGCCAAGAGAAGAGCCCTTTTTTAATACTGCTAATAGCTGCAGAACCTGGACAAATAGAAGCTAGAAGAGCTATTCGGCAAACTTGGGGCAATGAAAGTCTAGCACCTGGTATCCAAATCACAAGAATTTTTTTGCTGGGCGTAAGTATTAAGTTAAATGGCTACCTTCAACGTGCAATACTGGAAGAAAGCAGACAATATCATGATATAGTCCAACAGGAATATTTAGATACATACTACAATTTGACAATTAAAACACTAATGGGCATGAACTGGGTTGCAACGTACTGTCCACATATTCCATATGTTATGAAAACTGACAGTGACATGTTTGTCAACACTGAATATTTAATACATAAGTTACTGAAGCCAGACCTGCCTCCCAGACATAACTACTTCACTGGTTACCTAATGAGAGGATACGCACCCAATCGAAACAAAGAGAGCAAGTGGTACATGCCACCAGACCTCTACCCAAGTGAACGCTACCCTGTCTTCTGTTCTGGGACTGGTTATGTTTTTTCTGGAGATCTGGCAGAGAAGATCTTTAAAGTTTCTTTAAGTATCCGTCGTCTGCACTTGGAAGATGTATATGTAGGGATCTGTCTTGCCAAGTTGAGAATTGATCCTGTGCCCCCTCCCAACGAGTTTGTGTTCAATCACTGGCGAGTTTCTTATTCAAGCTGTAAATACAGCCACCTAATTACCTCTCATCAGTTCCAGCCTAGTGAACTGATAAAATACTGGAACCATTTACAACAAAATAAGCACAACGCTTGTGCCAACGCAGCAAAAGAAAAGGCAGGCAGGTATCGCCATCGTAAATTACACTAGAAAAGACAATTTTTTTTTTCAAATGTGCAATCTGTAAAATATTGCTAAAAGCATGTATAGTTAAAACTGATTACATCCATAGGACAAGTTTTAGTTAAAATTCATCACATACAGAAATTCAAAAAATATTTTTTTAATTTCTGAAAGTAATTCTTAAAAATACCATTATATAACAAAAAAGGTATCCCAAAAGAAACTATTAAAAAAAAAAAAAACTGTATAAGGGGATTCTGTGTATTAACATGCAATAAAAAGCATGCACACATCAATGGTTCAAGGCTTACGTTAAGGGCCAATAAGATGTATTTGCATATATTTTCCACATAAATTTTAATTTAAGAAATGGAGACAGTCAAAAGACCCTTCTCATTTTAGATTCAGTTTTTCATTTTAACATATAATTAAATGTAAATAAAACATTATTGTCAATCTTAAGGAAAATTTGTAATTGTGCAAAGGACAAATTTTCTGACCTGACTATTCTAGGGTTCTAAAACTATATTCCATGCAATAAGATTTAGTTGAATTACTCCATAAACACATTTATAAAGTTCAGATGTTTCATCAATGCAATTCTCATTAAGTATTTACCTTTTAATAACAATTGAGATACTCATTTTCTTTTATTAATACATATATTGGGGGAAAATTATTTTGACATGTGATAAAATGTGAAAAATCAATGTGTCTCAGGCTCAAGTTTTTATAAGAAAAAAAAGTAAATGTTTCAAAATAGACAGTTTGTTTCCTTGTTGGTGTTAAGGGCCAAGCTAGTATTTAAATGAGTTATTCTATTAGATTAGTTATTGCACTCTTAAGGAGTACTACCACTTAACTTCAAGGATATCTGTAAAAATACAACAGGTTCCTCCAACTGAAGCAAAAGTAATTACAGGTACAAAGAGAATGTACTGTTGAAAAAAGATACAGGATAAAGAGTGCAGCAGCAGTTTCATTCAATACATTTTTAAGATGCCTGTCTGCCAAACTGCAACATATGGGAAGTTTATTTCCTGACAGCAGGTGTACACATGCCAATACTTAATCATTTTATGGCACCTACTTCTTTCTCTGAGTGCCAAGTTTACAAACCTGCAGTTTTTAATTTGGTAGACGACAACTATTCCATGTCACCAATTTAAAACCTTTTTTGGGAGGGATCGGGGAAAACTACAAATGTTTGATGAACACTTGATTCTAGGATGACAATGTATACAACGCACTTTTACCAAGTTTTTAATAAAAAAAAGTAAACAAAAAAATCTTTACTGAGTGTTACAGTACAAATATTTTCACAGTAATTCTGTTTGGTTCCATTACAAAGTTTAAAATCAAGAAATAGTAACCCACTAAGTTTGAAAGTGTTTTTAATTCATAAAAGTATGTAAAATTTAACGATCTAAATCTAATGAAGATGTTACTTATCCTAATTGTAATGACAATCATTTTTATCCTTGATTCTATTCTGAAGAGATACTGTACCAAAACAGAACTGTAATAATTGTTAAAGTTCAGAATCACAGAAACTGTTTAAGTACTTATTATTTAATATGTTACATTCTATTTATACTGAATATATCTCCCATTTTCAATTCAGTAGTCTTAAGTATTCTATTCTACATAGAGTAATTTTGAAAGCCAAGCTATATAACATCCCAGCTCTTGGTTAAGTCCATTTCTCACTTAATTTATTCTATATGATTATAAAAACACTAAAGTTACTAAATGCCAAACTCATTAAACAAAAGTCACACATAAGAGGATAATACCAAATTAGGTAAGTAAGTTTCAGGAAAGACAAAAGTAATCTTTCCTTCAATGTAGAGTAATTCTCTCATTTCTACTTCAGAAGTTTTTTTTAAAAAGGGTATATGTGTGTACACGTATGCATGCACAATTATGTACCCAGAAACAGAACCCAAGCACTATCTGCCTAAATTATGATTATAGTGCAGGATCTTTAAAAGATAGTATTTTTCTTCCGGAAAAATTCAAGCTTAAAAAGTTGACTTTGAAAAACAGAATTCTTAACAGACAACTAAATTCCTCCTATCTTACACATCAATTTAAAATCATTTCAATATCCCTGAGAATACTATCTTGAGAAGTGACAGTAATCTGGTAACATAGAGTTCTCAAAGAAAACTCGATCAAATAATAAAGTTTCCTAATGCTGCTGAAAATCTGTATTTTAAAATAAATATTCTATTAATTTATTCTTGACCTTCCACTCTCAATATGCAAGAGTAATTCTTCAGAAAACATGATTTTTTATATTATAATATCTCAACATCTCACCAATAGTAGCTGTGCCTTATTCATGCCCAGTACTATGTGATTATGATTACACATGAAAATATAATGTTAAATTCTATTTGCACTACATTTGGTCAAAGAAAAAAATCAGGAACAACTATGTAATCTTTATGCTCAAAGTGTTAATAAATATTTTAGAAGATAAAAATACCAAAACTTTTGATAGTTACACTAGTTTTGATCAAGATTATACGTAGTGAAAGTCTAATTCCAGTAAATAATTTAAATTTCTCACCTTTTAGTATACAGCAGAATCACATATAACCTCAACTGGAATCTTACTGATATCTATTACCAAAAACCCCTATGACAATAATAGCAACAATGGCAGCAGGAACTATTTACTGATAGAGCATACACTATATGCCTGGTTCTGTGTTACACCACTTTACACACATGGTCTCACAGAATCCTTACAAATGACACTAAGAGACAGGAAAGAAAGACTCATGCAAGAAGTTACATACCTAAGATCACACAGCTAATAAAAGCAGCAAAGCTCCATCTTAAAGACCATGTTCTCAACCAGTATGTTATTCTGCTGTATATTTCACATATGACACCTGCAGTAAGATCTAAAGAGCTAAGCAAAAATGGCCTGTCCTCTAATTCTACTATTCTCTGCTTATTCTTCATCTTTTGCCAGGGAAGGCTTCATAACCATTTTCTCACACTGGAGGGGCACCTGATGTTAGGTGCAAAAATAAAGAGAAAGGGAAAAGAAAGGAAATCTGATCCCTCTTTTTTTCTTCTTCTTCTTTTCAACCGTTTACATCTGGTGGCCAAAACCTTAGAAAACCCTAAGTTTACTGCTTATCTCTTGCTTCTTTGGGCTCTGAGATACATCTGTAAACAACAGACATATGTCGCAGTTAGCAATTACAAAAGGTGCCTACTTGGAAGCACATTAGATGATTAGTAACAGACAAAAGTAGCACTTCATTTACTCACTCTACTAGTCAGTCACCTACTGTTTTGGGATGAGGTGGTAAAATCCTTTTATCCAACTGATTTCAGGGTTTTTTTTTTCCTTTTCAGTTTTTGCTGCTCAACTACAAAATCTATTAAATTAACATAGCTTTAAGAAGACAAAAAAGAATATCCCCACTATGCATACATTTCTAATAGACCTCACAGAATATCAGTTTATCACTTAAACAGTACTCTCAAAAAACAGAGAATGTACACAAATACTAAAAAGTGACGTTCTGAGTTTCAGGAAGACACCTGTCACACACTACATCAACACACACGCACAACCTTCCTCTAAGCACGATATAACTATAAATCTTACTATTTCAAGATACAATATGTCAAAAGAGGAAGAAAAATGTTTCTGTATCTACAGGAATTGTTTCTTCTCTCTTTACCAGAGCAAATATCTGTGCTAAAGGACAACTGGAGCTAACGTAATTGTCTCAGTCTGTCTATTAATCTAATCATTTCAACTTCCAACTGAATGTGACAGATTCTAAATTTGAATCTCACTGTTGACAGTATCCTAAACACTGAAAAAAACAGATCGACAGATCTAATAGATCATAAAAATACTAAATAACAGAAAACTATATAATATTATACGAAAAATCCTGAATTCATGTTTTTATGAATTTTTAAGTAAATCTTTAAAATCACAAACTTATACAATAGAATAAAATAAGGGTGTATGCCATAACTAAAATGCTATTAAAACATTAGAATATAGATAACGGAATTAACATGACATTCTGACAGCAATGAGAATCTTCTAATATACTGAAGGTTTGAAACAATAAAAATCACATTAAAACCACAAAACAGTTATTTAACGTAATTTCATAAAACTGTTTCCAGTTATGATTTGAAAAATAAATACTATCAGAAAATTAGAACTAGAAGAAATTACCATAAGCCCCAGCCAAAATCTACTTGATTATCAGATAAAATTAAGAAGAGAAATAAAAATGTTCAGTAAGCCTATAATGAGATAATGTGTTATGGTTTAACAACAGTTTTCAAACTAATTTCCTCATATGTCTCAGTTACTATAATTAGTAAAACCAGGAGAGCTGTGTTTTAGAGTCCTGCCCTCACTTTAGTACAACTGCAATTTTATGTTTAAATGAAAAGTTTCCATGTCAAAGTTCATTTGAAAAGAGTGACCAATGTTTATTTGCTTTTTGTTTGTTTACTGAAAACTACCTCAATGATTCTTGAACTGAAATACAACTACAGAAAAGATAAAAATACATATATTTACTCATCATATAACATACAACATATCAACTTAAAGAATAAAAGGAACTCAGATAATCAGTCAAAAAAAAGATTAAAATACTAAGAGTCTTAGACACGAGCCATTATACAATACAAATAGTGAAAAAAAATTCACAAAGGCAACATTTTAAAAATAAGGGATAATCACAAGTAAGAGGAAACTCTGGTGAAAACTAAACTTTTACCAAGAGGTATAAAAATTCTGACAAGTAAGAACACACCATTTTTTTTAGTTAACAAGAATACCTACTTTTAAAAATGGACATTCTTCCCCAATCAGCATGTTTTCTTCATCTGTATTTTCCAAATAGGGAAAAAACTGTTGTAGTAAGCCCAGTCAAATCTTAATGAATATTTTTTAAAGTTTTTAGCGTATATGGATGGAAATCACAAAATGATTATAAAATTAATATGGAAAAAAAGGTATC